TAAGTGAGATTTGGTTCCTTTTTTCAGGAGTGAGCTTTTGAATCGGAAAAGATTCAAAATAGACCGAGCGAAAGAGATTTTACTATGATCAGGTTCAGTTGCTTACCGGTACCCGGCGAAGTGATGATTGTGAAAAGTTAATTTAAACTGAATCAGTTTGTATACTAAAGTCAACTTCCATTAAAAAAGAAAAGAAAAGAAAAGAACAGAGGGGTCCTCTTGTATTAACTCTAAAAATGTAGTTTTGTTTTTTTTTTTTTGGTTGACTGCAGTAAGACGGATTTTCTGAAAGCAAAACTTATTCGTGTTCGGTAAGTTGTTCTTAGTTCTTTGAGTATGCGAGTTATGCGGATAGAAGTGCTTAATTCAAGAGCAAACAATTACATGTCCTTTTATTTACAGGAAGGTATTAGTATGTACACACAATAGAGCTATTTGTTTTCTTTGTTGCTCACTTCTTACATTCTAAAGATATGCAAATCTAGTCGCGTCTTTGCATGATTAAGACCCTGTTTACCTGGAGTGGGGGACCCCGGTCTAGTGGGGTAAGTTTCTTTGTTTTGTGTTCCCCAGAGCGTGAAAACAAAAGAAACCAACCCCACTAGACCGGAGTCCCCCACTCCATGTAAACAGGCCCTAAGAGGGCAGTAGGGTCCAAACTTGTGATTACCTTTGAAACTACTATACTTTAGCCTGCCGGACAGGCATCAATGGAGAGGAAAATAACCTTAAGCCATTCTTTAGGTAAGGATTTCTTGCACCATTGCATGCTTTTTTTTGTAAAATAAACCAAAAATATTTGGATCCAACCCTACGTGTTTCTTCAGGGGTGATAATAGGGAGCTTAAGCAACGGACGTTTATTACTGTAACGCACCTCATCTGTAAGTTAGCCTGCGTAGCTCGGGTGGGGTTGTTGTGCCCGGAGTACTTTAATGACCGCCACGAGCGGCGACCCACCAGTACGGAGGCTAACTGTAAGTTGCAACTTTTCCCCCATTTGTTGGTAGTGGTTCTGCCCCTTTTTCTGGCGGAGGGTGGGGGGAATTGTCTCATAATATAATGCATGGTAAAGACACTTAGCAAAAAAAAAAAATTGAAGCGTCAAGGCATATTGGATGGAAAAAGGCCCCTTCCACACAAAAATGGACACTGAAATGAAATGCTGTTTCAAATTAAACTGAACAGATTCGTGTAGACGGGACCTAAGCTAAAAATCCTCCGGTTTGGGGCTATGTTCAAGTTTCAAGTTTCAAGTTTTCAAGTTTATTTATTTTAATAAAACTATGACAATCCGAAATCTGACTGACTTGCAGGTAGCTAAAACTAATCGAGGCAGGTCAGTCTCAAAAGTTTTAAAATATTACAGAAGTCAAAAAAAGACATTAACAAAGTAAGAGTTTTCTTTAGATAAAAAGGAGAGAAATGTATAAGTAACGTGGTTCCACATTAAACCAAAAAAGGAAAGTAATTATAGGAAAACAAGTAACAAACAACTATGATGATAGGTACTAGATATATATAGAGAGAAGAGTTGTAAGTTAATATGATTTTTTAAGTCTGGCCATGATTTTGTCGTTATCTATATAGTTGACCGTTCGATCGTTTTTTAGTATTTAATAAAGCTCTTTTACGTTTTTTTTCTGAAGGTCTTCTTTGATATGTTTTTAAAGTTATTTGGCATCTCATTCCATATCTTTGCGCCAACACGAGAGTCTAAATTTTTTTTATGTAGAAATTTTATGAAGCTGATGAGCGTGTACAGTAGGGATGTGAATTTGATGTCCTTGAAAAGTTCAAAATATTTATCGGTGCATTTCTTTCGTCTATGTCGTGCATTAAGTTTAAGACGGATTCAAACTTTAGAGTTTACGAAAAAACGAATAGCATGATCTTGTCTGTTTGAAGAATAAATTAAGCGTAGTGCACGTTTTGGCAGGTTGAGTATTTTGTCGATCATACGTTTTACAGGCGTTTCCCTAAGAGATAAGACCATAGGTTAAGGAAGGTGTTATCAGTGCATTGCAAATGCTCACAAGAACAGAAGAAGGTACAAATTTGTGTCTTAATTAAGATAGCATACCATTACTTATCTTAGTAGCCGACTGTGACAATATGTTTTCTCCAAGAAAGATTCTCATCTATTAAGACTCCAAGATAATTTATGCAATCTTTTCGTTCAAGACTATTTACACTTTTATTGGTTTCATTATCATTATGGACTTTTTTTTTTGTAGGGCCGGAAAATGACATAGTTAGATTTTTTAGCATTTAATATTATGTTATTTGCATGAGTCAATCGTATCTTTCGTAAGTTTTTGACAGCGTAAAGGATATTAAGATGGAATCCACCATGAAATTGAGTTTTTTTAATTTTCAGCGGACAAAAATCTTGTACCAGAATAATTTAAAACATATTGCTGATTCTTTTTTACATTTTTCAAGACCTAAAGACGTAATAAATCATCTGTAATAACACCAAAGAAAATTTCTTATGAGAACCCGAGAAAAGGAATGTCAAATTTCACAAAATTACATCTTCAGTTCCACATGAAATTTACAGATATTTACCTGTGTTTTCACAATTCTTGTGAAATTTGACGTTCATTTTCTCGGACTCCCTTCAGAAATTTTCTTTGATGATGACTAATAACATCTTTAGGCCTAAAAAAATGTAAAAAAAAAAATGCAATATTCTTTAAGTTATTCCGGTACAAGGTTTTTGTCCACTGAGGATTAAAGTTACTCAATTTCCTAGTGGATTCAGTCTTAATTTCTTTCTTTTTGAAAAAGAAAGAAATTAAATTTTTTAAAGCAAAAATTAACATCATTTATGTAAAGTAAAAAAGAAGGGGTCACATTTTACCGGATAGCTTTTGCGCCGACTCGAAAACCATAAATGAAGGCCGGGGCTTGTCTTTTCACATAAGAACGGTGATTTCGGTGCGATTTCTGTAACTGAGCGTAGCTGCGCCGCGCTGATCTCAGACTAAAGCTGATGTTAAACGGGACGATTCGCAACGACGATTTTTAGCGCTACACAGCGTTGCAATGTCGGAACAATGTTGTAACAATTCGAAACAATGTCGCAACAATGTTACAACTCTGTGTTGCGCTAAAAATCGTCGTTGCGAATCGTCTCGTGTAACATCACCTTAAAGTGGAGAGCCTTATTAAATCTGATCGGTGTTCGTACTATACAGGATACTGGACTATAGTACCAGATGTTATCCGGTATAATCCTGTTCATTATTCATTCAAAATATTTCGCCGTTTCTGATTGGCTCCATTCTCCCTTCTCATAACCAACGGGCACTTACCATTAGAACCATTATCCGCCCTGGAAAAGGCGAGCAATTTACCAACGATTCGATGGTATATTTGATTGGAATCGAGGCTTCATGGGCAATAGACCAGAGACCAAAATGGCGTTTACTGCTATCTGAAGACGAAATAGATGAATTTCCAACTAAAACTGAAAGAAAGAAATGACCGTGGCAGGATTAGCTCAGTCGTTAGAGCGCTTGACTGCAGAGCGGGAGGTCGCGGGTTCGAATCCCGGGGCTGGACCATTACTCAGGGTCTTAAAATAACTGAGAAATGAAGGTACTTCCTTTGCCCTGCAGGCGGCTGGACCTTCGCGTGGCTCGGATGACCACGTAAAAAGGCGGTCCCGTCTCCAGTAGGAGACGTAAAATATAGTGTCCCCAATTAGCACTTTCGTGCTAAATACATTGACACTCAAATAAAGTGCTTTTTTTTTTTTAAAGTAGGCAAAACGTATTGCCCGATGAATGAGATCAACGTTTTTGAGAAGTGTCTGCAAGATATACCACATGTTTATATCGATCCTACTTCATATCCTGAAACGGCGCCGAGAAATGGGCCAAAGTTTAGTACAAATGTAGCAAGTCTACGAGGAGGTAAGCTTGCTAAGAATTTTTGAATGAATAATAAAACAATTATTGAATTCGGCGGCTTTCCGTCGAACGTTGTGGAGAATTATGCAGATCTAGGACGATGTTATCGACCTCCGCCTTCAGCCTCGGTGGATAACATCATCATCGATGATATAACTCTTCACATCCTACTCAGCCTCATTCAGTAATTGCTAAATAAACGTGAACATAGCCTCAACCTCAAGAATTCAATTTAAGGGCAAGGTGTGCGTTTCATGCTAATTTATATGAATATTTGCAGGAACGATATTCTGGCGAACAACTGCCCACTGACATATCATTTAGAAATTAAGAAATAACATCATACAACAATTATCGTAACTTTACCCATACGGACACTGCAACTTTACTGAGAAATCGAACTGTGGCCACTATCACAGAGCCTGGCCTGGGTTACCTCTGTTGTCAGATGCACTTTTACGCTTTTCTTTATTCATGTTTTCGACAACCTTCTTTTTCAAAATAGCTGTATATACGTGGTGTATGAGGTGTCTTGAAGTAACGAATACACCGTTAAATCAAACCGAACTTAATGACTTCAAAGAATTTTTTCATTGTTCGTTTTAATTAAGATAAATGCTTCAGAGGCCGTAAGAATTATTTCAGTTGTTTACAACGCAGAAAAGGAGAAAGGATTGCAAGCCAGAACCAAAGGGGATCATTGGAGGAAGGAAACCGGAGCGCTTCAAATGACGTAAAAAATAAACATTACAGCGCCCAGTACGTCAGAATTCTCGCACGCGAAGAAAGCCTTTTGTATTATATAATCTTCTCAGTTCATGATTACGGGAAAATCCCGTTTTCATTTGACCAATTAGAAGCTCAGCACGTGATCAATACCTTTTATGGCATGATTGCGACCAATAAAAATCAGTCGGCGAGTTCTAAAGACGCTGGTCATTTTAGGGGATCGAACTACCATAAATTGGGTTGTTTGAGGCGATTCCAGGATTATTCCAGAACTGAGTCCGGAACAGAAGGAAAAATGAAAAGGAGAGCGATCTGCATAGCATTTTTCTTAACATTTTTGGTCTTGTTGTCCCTTGTTCAGGAAAGCCAAGAAATCACAGGAATTTTGATTCTCCGCCGTATTCCAAAATGCCGTCGAGCAAGCAACGGAAGAAAAGTTCGTTCCTGCCGCCGTGGAACGATCAAGTCTTTGGTTCCCGTTTTCGTGTTCACTGAGTCCGAAATCGAAAGACAAAAGTTTTTGAGGTAGGTAGCAAATATTTCACAAGTATATTTTGCACTCTTAATGCCGGATTGCGGTGATCGAGAATCCAGCTTACCCCTGGATTTTACACCGTTTTATCAAACTCTTAAACGCTTTGCCCTGGCTATTTCCTTCATCAATAAATTAAGTAGCTAGCAAAGCAAGTCCCTTGTCTCCTTCGATGCGATGGCAAGCAGCACATTCAAAAATTAGAAGACTTATCTGATCCAACTTCTCTGATTCTCTCTTGAGCAATCTAATTTTATGTATTTGAGAATCGCGCGAGAACTGAAGGTAGATCGAAACTGGTGTGAGCGATAAACCAAAAGAGGAGAGCTATTTACGGTGGCCATTTAATTTCATCCATTCAACTCCTCTCTCTCTTTTAATTAAGGACTGAGTTTTTGAACAAAATGCGACAATTTTTTTTAAAATTCTTGAAGAGGACATTTAGCCCTTCTGATAGATTGCTAATGGTCCCTCTGGATTGTTGTGCAATCTCTAATAAGAAAAATAGGGTCGACCTGTGAGCAGCCTAAACGTGTGAACCGGTTAAATATATATATTTGTCTTGTTACTTATATTATTTACCAGTAACGCCTACCCTTCGAAGCCGAAGATTGATGGCGTGGGGTCAGCTAAGTTAGGCTGATTTAGCAACAGAACGGGAACGTCAGTCAACGACGGGAAAACGCGCGGAAGGGACTAAACGCGACTTCTGGTGCTCAATTTGCCTTTCTGCGATTGGTCATTCCAGTTGTTCGATTTGCGCGCGCCGTTGTCAACTGACGCTCCCGGTCTGTTGCTAAATCAGCCTAATATTACCATTGCAACGTGACCTAACGACTTCTCCTTCTCAGTCTATTCTCGTTTAAATGGTTATACTGTATAAATTCATAAGAACTGTTACACTCCAAATCCGTTGTGGATACTTTGTGATTCAGCCTGTTGGCGTGTAGAGCCATTTTAGCACAATTTGAACCAAACCAGTCCTGTCAAATAATTATATTTAGTATATACTAAAACAGTGGATAGTGTTTTTCGCGCGCTCTGATTGGCTGCTCAATCAGTGAATATCCTGCACTATTCACTGATTCACCTCTAGTTCCTCCGAGCGAGAGACGCCAAACTCGCGTAAGTTGCAAAATGCCTTCCCGGTTTGCTGCCGTAACAAACAAAGAAATTTCACAACTAATCAAGCAAGCTGTTTCCGAAATACACGAAGAAAGTGACGAAGCTCGGGGTGGAAGTTTTCACAGGTAAAACTTTGTCTTTTTGACTTGAATTTATCGATAAAACCGGCGAAAAAGTTTTGTTGTTTACAAATGCAAATTAAGTTTAAGTCTTGCGTTACTTTTTTTAGTTGACTTGTTCATAAATAAGCTTAAAACTAAATCTAATAATCCTTTTTACAGAATGATTTTAAATACAAAAAGAATTCACAACTCCTTTTGAGGAAATTTCCCCGCAAGAGGTAAACAAATGCCTTCAAAAGTTTTATTTGCCGGCAAGAAAAAGCGACGACAGCGGCCGTTCGGTCATTGCGCGCCAAAATTGTAATCGTTGCAGGCAACAGTAAATGAGTTAAAAATCATCATTTTTGTGCTCAATTATCTCACTGTTTTAGTATATACTAAAACAATTATTCACCTCAGTGTCGGTGGCTAGTGATGGATATTTACCTCGCCGCTAACGCGGCTTCGGTAAATATCCATCACTAGCCACCTCCACTTCGGTGAATAATTGTTATATATTTCAGCGCCCATTTTGGTGTTCATCAACATAGCCATCTTTATTATAGACCCTACTATATCTTTCTCGGAAACAGCCTCAGTTTATTAACGGAAAATGTTCGCTTCGTTGGTAAAAAGCACTTGCCTTTCGGTTCCCGGAAGCCTAAGGTATTTTTATTTCCGAATCAATAACACTATGGCCCTCAATCATGAATAGTGAATTTTAGAATAAGAATGCACCGACAGATTGTCACAAATTTGTATTTAACGGGATCATAGTTATTAGAGGAGACTGGTTATGAAAAGCGGCAAACATCAATGATAAAAACAACAGCGCTGCAGTTTATGTTGGAAGCACCCTGAAAGTGCACAATCCTTTGTTTTCTGTTGGCAAATTGTTACGGAATAAATTAATGCAACGTTTTTATTGGTCAATACGGTCAAAATGATAGGAATTCTTTTGAACGTTATGCACTTTCAGGTCCACAAAAACATATAACAAAGGAGTCTGACGGGTTTCATAACCATTCCACACAATTAACTATGACGGGATTTAGGAGTGACTGGAATGATACTGAATGTTATGTGCATCGTCAGCGTTAGGCTTAATTGGTAAAGGAAACTCGTTTCAACCGATACTTAACTGATCTCAAAAAATCCTACCCTCTGCTTTGATTGGCTAAGCTTTTAAGCGAGAAAGATAAACCCGTAATAAGCCTTCATTAAGATCTCTTTGTCTTTAACAGTCGGCTATGAGTTTTTGTTCGTTCCGTTTTAATTTCTGATACGAAGCAACAAAGTGATAATTGAGCTTTGTGTCGTGCAATTTTGGTCTGACATATATCATACTTGTGATTGAAAATCACGCGAATGATTTCAGATCAAATTGCTTTCCACTCAGTTCAATTTCCGTTATAAATCAACATGATACTGAGTAAGGCGACTCCCTCAGCTTTGTAATTTCTTACATTTTTCTTTGTCTTTCTTCCCTTTTTTTTCTTTTTAAAGGAAAATCGAGAGGGCTGAAAACGCTGCAGAGAACATAGAAGACTTCTGGATGCAATAACCTGTTCTTTGGTCTTTAAATTTTCAATTCAATTCAATTCAATTTTTGTTCACATTCTTATAAAATCCTACAATCTAAGAACAGATAGTAGGCAGAAATGTACTAAGAAATTAAGGCGAGCATGCAATGCCAAGAAATGTAAATAGCTTTTTGATTACGCTTCAACTGTACTGTGCTTTGGAATAAATGCTATTGCAGTAAAATCATAAACGATGGTTTTGGTGCTGTCAAATTCAAATCAGTTGTCATTGGTATTTTTAAACCTTAAATGGCTCTCTATAGCAACAGGACGGGAACGTCCGTTAACAACGAGAAAGCGCGCGGAAAGGACTAAACACGACTTCCGGTGCTCAATTTTCCGCTCCGCCATTGGTCAAGCCAGTTGCTTGATTTGCACGTGCCGTCGTCAACTGACGTTCCCGTTCTGTTGCTAAATCAGCCTAATATTGGACATTGGGGGTTGCTTGTATGCGCGTTATAACACCTTATTTTCTTGGAAGAGAAGAAGAGCAGCTTTCTATTGAGTGCTGAAAATTTTAATGTTATATTCTGTTCGATAGAGCTCTGTCCAGGTGAGCCTTCGAAGCAATTTGGCGGCCACAGCTGTGGTTCTGCGTTATTCACTATTATAGTATCTTATTGCACGCTATTCTTTAATTTTCAAATTGTAACGTCTTAGCTTAACCTTTTCATTATATGTAAGACCCTGAAGAAGCAAGGCCGTGCCTTCCAAAATATTGGCAAAATTATATATATATTTCCCACTGTAAAATCAGCCTTGCCTCTTTTGTTTTTTATTCGGGTCATTATTGTTCAGTACGGCTTTCAACTGGCTCAAAATTTTCGCGCCGACGTTTTAAAAACCAATCGGAAGCAAAACATACCCACAGAACGGGACATAAAGAGATATCCGGGTCGGTTGTTAAACGGAGTTTAGCCGGAGCCATTTAAAGACCCTCGTGCTAAGTCACGTCCCGGGCTAAGTCAGGGCCGCGCGCACAGGAGGAAGGGTCTAGGGCCTTCTTCTCCACTTTTTGCGATAAAGAAAAACATACTTTTCCTAAGTTCTTCAATAAATAAGTTTTTTGATACTAGACTAAGGATCTCGTTCCTATTCCCGTCCACAAAAGGGAATAATAAAGTAGAGTCATGATTAATATACCAGGTGAAAATTATGGTTAATGCCTGGGAAAAAGTGAGTTCCTGTGCTACTTAATAATTCGATTTCTTGTTCAACGCTCTTTATGCGCCTGAAAACCAGAGGCGATTTCATGGGTGACTTTTGAATTGCGTGAGATTGAGTTACCAAAACAGAGCTGAGGCGATTAAAGTTTTCAATCCATGCACTCTATGGAACCGCTGAACGTCACAAAATTGCAGCTAAAATCGCCGCAAAGTCGCACAAAAGCCTGTAACCTCTTCCTTCGATCACTGGGATCGGCTTTAGAAAGCTTGCTCATAGGATTATTTTACCTGCGTGATCTCTTCAAATTGCTTACCAAAAACAAAGACCAATATTAGTTAATTGTTCCTGTACTCACCGGGCTCAATTGATTATCAGTTTAGAATAATATTGAGATCGTTCGGATCGTACTGGCCAATCACATTTCAGCATGTCCTGGAGCGTATAAAGTGGTAGGTTTATCTTTTTTACTTAACCTGAATTAGAAAGCTTAAGAGCACAGGTTTCTTTTCCAACATCACTGATCCATCATAAGCAAACGTGATATAGCTACTGAATGGAATCTCCAAAGAAGCGGGATGGTTTTATGAAAGAACCTTTCAGAAAAAAAGTAACATCATCCTTAAAACCCGCAATCTAAAGCCTCCTGTTAGAATTTAATCACTCTATAAGTTGATTAATCATGTTCTTTTTGTAATAAATAAAAAAATGAGACAGGACTCTTGAGCGCTAGAAACAGAGATCGGGTAAAAACAATTCCATGCTTCCAAGATTAAATGACTTTCAAGATCTTGTAAACTGTATTTAGTTTTTTTATTCACTTATAGAAACTATATCCAGATAAATTGATGATACGATATAACACCAGACGCTTTAGGGATTTTTAAAGGATTATATCAAAATGGATCAGCTGTTCAACCATTTTTTTTTTTTATCTTAGCACAGATGGCCTGATTTCTCCTAGCAGTTGTCTCCCAAACATTATCAGTTCACTAAGGTTTTCAGTGCCGTTGACCTTTTCTCTCACTGCCTAGAATGACACGGTAAACAGGTAACAATATACTGTAATACAATATCAAGGGAATAATTGCTTATCCGAAGCGCCAAATCGTCCTTTAGAAAAAATTCGTGTAAGAACTTTTTTACTAGGGGACTAAGACCTGTTAACTGAATTTTATGTCAAAGATCGTAAAAGGTCAGACTCATTCGCCTTTATATGGACCTTTTACAAGCATGGCGACTACCATTTTCAGGCTCCACATTGGATTATTGTTCTCTCCAATATCTTCAACAACGGCCCCGTTTGCACTTTCCCACTTAATTTGGAAATTTTCTTTGACAAACTTTCAAATTATGTACTCTTAATATGGGATGTATTTTGCATTTTTTACTGAAGAGTTCATCTATAAGGGCACGCAAATTTCCTACTCCCGGCAGCCCCTCTCTGATGTAGACAAATGCCATGGTAAGGGGTATGGGAACACTTGGAATTCACGCCTCAAGCCATATCTACCGGCTCTCGATACTTCCACCATGAGAGAAACGAAGGACCAGTTTTCAGTAGCCTTCATTTAAATGTTTGCATGTCAGTATTTCATACAAAAAATCAAAAGTTACACCCACATTGTACAGCATAGTAAACAGTACCTCACGAAAGTACCTTTCAGTGGCTTTATTCTATACACTCAACAGTTAGAACTACTTTGTACAGCATCCAAAGCCTCACCGAGGAAAGCATTGCTTATAGTAGAAAGTAGGATTTTATTCACAAACTCGCCAAACAGCCGTTTTCAATTGAATGATCCCGTCACACTTAGGGTAATATTGTTACTTGAAAGTTAGAACCAACTTGTACAATACAGCAACCTCTATATATCCCAAAATGATGCTTAGTGGGTTTTTTCTTTGATGGTAACTCTTATGGATTTTACTTTTCGACCGCCTAATTTAAACTGAACCGACGTTGCAATTGTGCAAATCAGTAGTCACTCCGCCATGACAGTGATGGCTAGCAATATCACTTGCACTCTGATCACCACTCCGGCGTGTTCTAGTACTGGCCCAATCGATCAGTGACTCACTGGGAATTGCGTAAAAGTAAGTGCTATTGTCATATTGACTCTGAAATTAAAACGAACATACATAAGAATCGGGGGAAATATTTTTTTTAGAATTACTTGTTTATTTTCCGATATTAGGAATATTATCCATTTTGCCTATAATACGATATATAAATGGGAAAAAAGACAAAATCACGACGAAAGTGTGATGAATTAAAGCTCTCGACAACTTGAAGCGAACTTGGACGTAGGTCATAGTTGAACAAAATGGAGCGCGGGTTTCTTATAGGATTTGTAATTATTCTCGCATTAACTTCCTTCTGTCACAGCTTATCGGATTTTGATGAAAATGACGAAAGTTTAGCGGACAGGAAACCTCTTTTGGAGAAACTTGGCATGGAAATGTACAGGTAAAAAAAGTAAAATAATAATGAATATTTTTTTCAATACTATCTTCACCTCTTCTTACCCTGGGTACCAGGGTTTCCTGTGCCTGCCTTTATTATACTTTAGATGATAGTTACACAGAGTTTTTGACTCTGTTAACGAAAACGTACAATAAGACCAATGAACATTTCCTGTGTTCACGGCATTGTTTATTACAATGTACAACTGAGGGTGGACGTTCTAACTTTTACGTTTGAGGAAAAAGTTTTTTCGAAAGCTACTGAGGTAAACTTCATATAAGAACAGCCCATTTCAAATAAGAGTTTGAGTAATTATTAAGTAATTCTTTTATGTTTCCTTTAATTACAAATTACTCACAAACCTTTAGCCTACTTTGTGACGCATCATAAACGTAGATTAATTTCTCCTTCAAAAATGATTTTGTTTGAGAAGAAATATCAAACATTCGACACAGTGTTTCATCACCAGATGAAACACCTCGAAGTTCGTCAAAAATACTCCGCTGCACGTCGTATATTCAACTCTCTTCTCGGTGTTTCATCTGGTGATGAAACACTGCATCTCATGTTTGATATATTACTTACAATGTACAAGGTGGTTCAAACTTTGAGTCTTTGAATGAAATCCGTCAGTTGAAAGCCTAAAGGAGTAGATTCTTTTTACTTTTGTTTTAAAACTGTTCATAATTGCTAGGATGAAATTAAAACCATTAGAGACTAATACGTTATATTAAAAAGTGTTATTTTTGCAAAGTATTTCGAGTAATTTTAACGTACAAAGCAATCTTGAAATTGCTAAAAAGTTAACGAAACCCCACCAAGTGTTTTAGATAAGTACAAACGAAAAGCAAGAACAAATAGAGCAAACTATAACCGAAGGATTAAGGATGGTTACGAGGGGGAAGATTGACGATTACAAATGTCCGAAACTTGAAAAACTAAATAACACCGTACCTTTTTCAAGATACAGAAGCTGCGACGTAGTCTGAATAGTCTGGAGTGTTGACTTGTCGTTCGATTTAAGGCTAATCAGTATGTAATATTTTGATCTAATATCAGGGATCCTCACTGGAGCCCGTATGGTAAAAAGCGATGCTACTGCGGATATGGATATAAAGGGAAAGGACCCATGAATCCGTGGGGAGGGGGATTTCCACCATTCGGACCGTTCCGACCATTCCCACGGGTAAGGTATGGACCCCGTCGACGCCCTTCTCGTCGCAAGGGAAGCCAGACATCTGATGATGAAGAGGAATAGAAAGGTATGGCAATATAGTTATGCCTCATTAATTGACTGTTACAATCTCATTGTGAATAATTATCAGGAAAATGCGCTTGAAGTGAGGGATAATAGTTGGTTACTAGTTGGCAGAGTCAGGCACGAAGCGGTTTTTTGTAAGTGAAAGTCCGGAAAGTAATCGAACCATGCAGGCTAAGAATTCCGTTCCTTTGCTTTATTTTGATTGGCTGAAAAAAACCTCGCACTACTTTCTTAACCAATCAGGAGTGAAAACAAAAAACTAATCACGATTTGCTCATATTCATTTCCCGCGTTTGGCGCCCGATACATGTTCTCGCTTCGAGACGTGATTGGTTCATTTGATTGTCAACTCTAATTGTGACTGGTCAGAATAAAACTAAACGTGTCTCGCTTGCACATGTTTTCCCCCCGGTTCTAACAACATTTGCCTCGAGAAATAATCAGTTTACTTGGTTGGCAGCTCGTGTTTTGATTGGCCAAGGGTATAATCACGTTGTTGTCTTGAACCTCAGTTAAAATCGCTCTACAGTTGTCACTTGTACGTCGTTCAAAGTCGTCGTTTACATTATATTTCTCACCGTGACTTTTGCTCTAAGCACATTATGAACACTCTACTCTATATTAAACCCAGCGACTGTAATTAATGACGGAATGTACAGCCAAAGTACCATGTGTTTCCCCTTCTTTCAGGTGAGAAGATGGTACGCCCCTTCTGAGTCAAGACACAGAAACCTTTCCTGGAGAAAAGCCACGAAAACAGAATTGATTATGTGAAAGAATCATGGAAAATAAAATCATGTTTTGAAAAAATAAATGTAAAGTTTGATGACTCTAGTAAGAATGTCGTAGGATAAAAGCCGGCTGAAAAAAAAAGTCTACGGTCACTGAAAATTAAAGACGGGACTACAATTGATTCCAAAGTTAGCTGACACAGATAAGGCCAAAAGAAGAATTCTGAGGACACACCTGTTTTGTAGGATGGGTAGATTTCAGTCCTCAACGGACCAAACCGCCTGGGACTAAGCAAGGTGGCAAAGTACATCATGGACTTGAGTAAAAAAAATATCCCATTTAGCTGTACACAATACTCTCACTACGAGCAGTCTCTCTTTTTTTCTTAGTCCGTCGAACGAAACGCGCAAGAAACGAAAATGACTGTCCTCGTTTCTCGTGTCTTCGCCGTTCGACGCTCCCGCGCGCTTGCGCGCACTCCCCTCACTAAATCTGAAGAAAATGAGAGACAAGTCGCAGTCTAATAAGACCCATTAGGCCACGCTAGACTTCAGTTAAACCTCATGTCGGGAGCGTTTTCCAAGGATATATAATTCTATTGAGACTCTTACTCGGATGTATATGGGATTCGAGTAGCTCCAAAATCCCAGCAAGAACGATAAATTGTGCACTCTTCCACATGAAAATTGCCGACTTTCCACTGTCAAAACTGATTCATAGCGACAAAAGTGGTCACCCAACATGAATTACGTAAACGGACAAAATTCCATTATTCCTAAACGAAAATTACACAAGCTGGTAACGGCAAAAACACAAAAATATAAGGAAATACTAGACAAACGTCGGTATAGAATTCATTTCAGATTATTTAAACAACGAAGTCGGCTTTTTGCCAGAATTGGCGCGTCTTTGAGCCTTCCGAGGAAACAGGTAAGGAGAAAACAGGAAATACACAAATAAGGCCAAAATGTTTGAATATTAGATTCGTTATCGTCTGCGTAAGAGAATTGTTTGGTCCTTGACGTCTTTGAAGGCTAGAAATTGAGAACGTTTATCTTTGCTAAAGCGAAATGAAATATACCTGAATTAGGGTAAAGAGCTGACATTTTCGCATTGAAAGCCCATTCCCCAGCTAATATAGATGCATAAACAGAGCGAAATATGGATAAAATTGTGTTTGTTTTGCATTATGGAAAAATTAGCCACCAGGAGAGTTATAATACACTAAAACGCAATATTCCCAATATACTATATATTATACTGACAGGAAACGTGGGAATTTTACATAAATAATAAAGAAAACCGGAAAAAGAGAGGCTTTGAATAATCATATTCAATAATCCGTTTGGATATAAGAAGTTTAGTGAAGTCAGCTGAGAACTGCATGCCTGTTCGCTAAGCAGATAACGAGATGGATATAGTTTCTAGACACAATTTCCAGTTGAATTTACGTACAATTGGCGCGACACAAGACTATAAGTGATAAATTCTTTTCGTATAGCTCTTTTACGAGCCGCTCTAGAAGAGTCCTATTTGTTTCAATTTTAAAAGCGACATTAGATTTTTACTGAATGTATGCTTAAGACTGATTAAGAGGAATTTCAATTCCCGAATTAAACTTGTAATAATACTTTTTGTACAATTTAACTGGTTCGCAAGGGTTTTGTAATCTATCAACTACCGACAGGCCAAGAAAAGGTAATCGGACTTCTGAAGAAGAACAGACTCATACTGAACACCTGCCTTTTAAAAATGTTTATCATCATGAATGGGTGAATGTATAAAGAGATGCTCTGATTCACCGCAAGAGCTCTTGCAATTAACTACGGTACACAAACCCGAAAAGGCAATATCGCCGGCCTTGCATGTTAAATTCGAATAGATAAATGGTGCCTTAACATATTTTACTTTGGTTTTCTTTCATGATGGAAGCTGTTAACCACTATGATTGCTTTGCAAAGTTGGTATCAGCTCCGTTTGTATGAACCTCTATCGAGGCGATGCGCCTGAGACGTTTTTTTCTTCCTTTCATTTTGTGGGAGTTTTATTTGCTGTGAAGAGAAAAATTGAGTAAGGATGTAAACAATATTTAGTAAATGTAAATATCTTTTCATATCTCTAAATGACAAATTTCTTTACTTTAAAACTGCTTCACACCCGAACAAAATTGTTCCACCAATGACGCTTTTAATAGTCCACGGTTTCCAATTACTAAGAACTGGGTTGGTACAGTTCAGCATACAGTGGTAGAAAACCATGAAAATGGCATACCATAGCAGAAAACCATGAACATGCAGTAAAGACGTAAACCTATATTAGCTGCTTAGTATCTGCAAATTGCTCTCTTGCATAGACCCTACTCCAACTCCCCACCCCTCCCCTCAAATAAAAAAAAACTGCCCACAAGCCACTTTCTCTCCCAACCGAACGTCAACACTAACGTTTCACTTAGAGTTCAGTTCATCTCGATCTGGTGTGACATCTGATAAGAAATTTCAGGAAATTAAGAGACCTTTCATTAGAATTGTGACAGTTAATTCTAAACGGTTTTTGCAGTTTGTTAAGGCTATCTCAGTATTAAATTGCCTTGAAGTAGGCAAAGAGAGAGAGAGAGAAAACTAAACGCTATTTTTTAAAAAAGAGTTCTTTTATCCCCCTTGTTTTTTTACCTGGCTCATTTTTCAAATTCGTAGCGCTATTTCAAACGACGTCATGTGAAGATTATCATTGACTTCAAGATTAAATCCCACCAAAAAGTAGCTAGACTATTGAACTCCACAAGATTATTAATATTAAATTTCAAGATTTCAAAAGAATGTCTCGTATCACTAAGTGCAATTGCCTTATGAGAGATGTTTATCACCGCAAAAGGAGAACATTTTCGGCCTTAGCTAATCGTCGCTTTTCGGTGTTCGTTTGAGTATACAACTGTTAAATTTTCACATTTAATAAAGAACTTACATCCTGATTATTCGTAAGCCAATTAACAACTTTCTGCCCGTCTTTTTTCGTAGAAATGATTTATAAAATAACTTTCATCTCTTTCGCCGATTTACACATCGGCGGTGAAAGTCTCGGGAATAAATTGAACACGCGTTTGAAAAGACGTCACAAACATGTCTTAGGTTTAAACAAACAACTATTGCAGGACAATTCCACGGCAAATATTGAGTCACCTCTCCGCTAAAGATATACAGTGGAAAGCTTCGGTCCGCGACTTTCCCGATAAACGATCGATAAACTCCTGCCTGTATCAACAGCGTTGTGTCTAAAAAATAGCTTCTTGAAGCCTTCTCGATAGTTTGAACTTCGAAACGCGTACAGAATTGGATTCAAACATGAGCTTGAAGCAACAAGCAATTCAAACACTCGTAGTAACACTGACAGAATTTCTTGTTGGAACATTAGTTTCCTGCGGTCTTGCAGAGAGATGTATAAAATAAACGTGCCGTATGGCAAATACAGCACATAGAAAGCCGCTGTTACGCTAATAAGGAGCTTTGCAAGTCGCCTTTTGGTTCGTTGGTCTTCCCTTACCGAAGGCGCTCGTGAACAAACAGTATTCTTGAAAAACAAACCACGGATAATCTGAAAATAACAATACGCAAGGATCGTGAAAGGCACAAAGCCAAGGAATGTTATGGTGCATACCACATGTACCCGTAATGCCGAAGCAAGTTCCAAACTGAACGGACACAAGCATCTCCCGTAATGCACGCTGTAGTGGTTTTCGGCGAAGTCGGGCAGGCAAATTAAAATAGCGGCCAGCCATATACAGCAGATAGCATATTTAACACGTTCGCGGGTTAATCGAAGTTCAGTTTGCATTGGTTTCATCAGAGCGTGATACCGCTCGGTTGCAAGAAGAGTCAGTGTGAGTATAGAGCTTGCAATTGCTACACTGATAATCGCATTCCCAGTGAAAATCTTGCAGATGTAGTCTCCCAGCGTTCCCATCGGATGACTGGGGTAAAACGCGAAACTATAAGTTCTCGGACACCAAAGCAAAGTAATTACATCGCTGACGGCCAAATTGACAAGTAGAAAATTCGTCGTTGTGTGCATTGATCTATTTTTCCGAACTACAATTATAACCAGGCTATTTCCAATAAGACCGACTGTTACCACAAACGCGTATAAAACCGCAAAAACTATATCGATCGTCTCAACTGAATACGTCTTAAAATCGAGAGCGGAGCTCGACTCGTTGCCACTTCCAGACATTTTTTCCGTTCTTGAACAGATTTACACGAAGAACAGCCAAGATTGGGATCAGAGTTTTTGGCGTGACGAAAAAGTCAGTTAATCTTTCTCTGGACCGGGCTTAATTCAATTTGGTCTCTTCTCCTGTTTGAATTCAAGTCGAGATTGAACGCGAGCTGTCTTGACAGTTTACGACTTGTCGTACAATACACAAAGTAGCTGGACAACAGCTGTGTTTGAAAATCGAGTCTGATAAAGTTCCGCTGCAACAAATTACCGAATATTTCAATTGGCCTATGACACGATTGTTCTGTCAGGTGACCTAATCCCTTAAAGGGGTGAACGACGCTATTAACAAGATTAGAATTTTCTAGCCTACGTTACTGACGTTAACATACGGCACAGAACAACTACTAAATGGTTAAAATTTTTCTACAATTGTTATTCTGATTGCTTGACAGTCGAACTGCCATTCCTTCCGTCTAGATCTATCTATCTCTTAATTCCCAAATATCCTGTTTCGTTTGCTTGAAAGAACTTGAAAGGAGCTGCATGTGACACGAATCAAAATTCAAAGAGAGGGAGCTAAATTTTCCTCTATCCCTCCTGTACGCCATGAATTACACTGGCTACCCGTGCAGGCGCGCATGCATTTTGAGATTCTTTTATTAGCTTTCAAAGCCATTCATGGTCTCGCACCTTCAATTATATCAGTAATCTTCTGGCCTTTACAGCAAGTCCCCTTAGGGACCGGTCATTATTTATCGCCTGGGGGGGGTCGGAGGATTTTGGGCTAAACACGATGAAACTTAGCCGATCCCCCCTTTAAATGTTATTTTATTGAAGTGATCCCCCCTCATAACTATATATAACTTTCGTGATCCCCCCCCCCCC